ATTGTGACACCCTGTACCCCATGTTCACCACTTGTATATGGTTATATTTTGTACAAAGTACGCCTTGTGAAGTATCATTTGAAAATTCATAAACTGCTGAATATCATTGTCCTGTTAAGATGTGTTTAACAACACTGTGTGTAAAGCTAGGAGATTTTACTGCATGATTGTTACTGAAATAAGGTGCCGTTTTGGGTAACGCCCACAAACTAATTGTTCAGAGACGAAGACACCCTAGCATGCCAGCAAAGTACCAAAGAGCCGTTAAGTACTAAATCAGACATTCACCAGCTGGGGGTGCGGGGAGGGAAACTAGGAACTTACAATTCATCAGGAGGGCAGTTTGGAGCTCAGGTACGCAACAGCACTGCCTGACCTCATGACCCAGCACGGATTTTTCCAACACAAAGGGCAGGAGTATAAGAAAGGGGGAAATGACCCTCGCCCCCCTATCCTCTGTCCATCTCTCTGCTCATGACAAGGACGACGCACAAGGAGCTGAACAAAGGGGGAAGTGGTCCCAGGCTGGGAAAAGACACAGCCTGTGAAACGTGTTGCAGTTGCTGGGGAGAAAAACTCCTTTTGCTTTTAAACCTACTAGTCCTGGTAAAGTTTAGGAATTCGCTTGTGGGTTTCTCCTTTTATTCCTTTTGTGACCAGTTCTGACTGTTCTGCCTTCCCACCTGTGTCACTTAAAATCCACCCTTCTCTGGTTAATAGTCTTGTCTCATGGCTCTATCTAAACCCGTGTGTTTGACTGACGTGTTTGGGAAACCTCTGCTTGAGACACCAAAGGCTGGCGCATGATCTCCAGAGCTGGAATGACGAGTGAGGAGCTTACGCTGCCCGGGAGGGTTCGGCGCAGTGCAAGAGGCAAGGCTGGGGCGGGGGCTCTGCGGGTGTCGCCCTGTATGTAATTCATGGACGGCTGGGCACAGCAGCACGTACTCAGCTGGGAGCGACTGCGCGCTGGGGGCTGGGAGTGAGCAGAGCCTGCACCGGTGGCTGTTCCCAGCAAAGCAGTGTAAAAGGCGTCCCAGGCGGGAGAGCTAAGGGGACCCCGCAGTCCAGGCTGCACCATGGGGAAAAGTTATGCCCTCCCTCACGCCAGGCCACCCCCTGCAGAGACCACCAGCCCCTCCCCACAGACAAACATCCTGCCCTCCTCGCTCCCCCCCACCCTTCAGAGACAGCCTGTGGCCCCCGGCTGCTCTCGACCCGGATCAGCGCCCCGGCAGGCAGAGGTTCCACCCACCCATCGGGCAGGCCGCCCCAG